AATGGATAGGTGGATGGATGGAAGGATAGATGGGAATGGATGGATGGGTAGCTGTGGGATGGATGGCTGAGGAGGTGGATGGGGGCTGCTGTGACATGCTGATGCTTCCCACTCTCGTTTCCTGGTCCCAGCACAGGGAGCTGGTGGCTGGAACTGCCCCATCTGGTCCCAATTGAAGGGAGGAAGAGGCTTGATGGATCCATGTGGCTCCCATTCCAGCAGGGCTTTGAGGTCCCACAGGGAGAACCTGGCCCTGGGGGAGCTCTCTGGAGGTCAGGGGTGGTCTGGGGGGCTCCTGCACTAAGGTCTCCTTGTTTCTGGGTGAGCCACAATGTTTTTGGTGTGACAACATCCAAAAGCAAATAAAAGCAGCTCCAAATGTTTCTTTCTCCTGCCCCCCTCAATCCTTGACTTTTTTCCTTGGGTTTGCCCCACCAGTTTTGGTGGCCTGTCTCATATTTATGGGCTCCTTTGGGTGCCATCCCCAGCCCTGTGCTGCAGTGGGGTTTGGCCTCTGTGGCTCAGCAAAGGGCTGTGCAATTCCCAGCTCCCTGGGGATTAATTCTGGTGGATAACAAACTCCTTTAGTGTTGGAAACTCCAGGATGGTGCCTCATCTCTGGGGCAAAGACTGAATTTCCCAGCGATTTGGAAACCCTGTGGTGTGTTGGAGACTGGCAGGACACAACCAGGGGATGCAGTGACAGGGGGGAGCAGGGACAGATCCAGCCAGGAAAAGCTCAGTGGCATTTCCAGGAGAGACAGGCACTTAAAAGCCCAACTCCCCCTGACCTTCCCGAGAGATTTATGTCCCCGGGAATGTTCTCACGCTGTCACCGTGAGCGTGTGACACAGGGGGCACCTCTGCGGGACCCCTGGGCAGCGTTTGGCCAGCAGGCACCTCCTTGGGCACCGTGAGATCAGCTCACGGCCCTTGGGATCGTCCTCCCACCTCCCAGCCCTGGGCATCTCACCGCGGGATTCTCCCTCCCTCGCTGTCTGATGGGCTCCAGGAGAGGGGATGTGGGGACAAACCACGAGTTATGTCCTAAATTTCCGTGTTATGAGACCTCCCGACTTCTCAAAACTCCTTTTTGTTCCAACCTGGAATGAAAACAAAGAAACTCCGAGCTGTTTTTAGGAGGTAAAAGGCTCTAAAAGGGGAAGGGGACCCTTCAACCCCCTCATTTTAAATTGAAGCACCAACCTGGCTCGTTACATCTCGAAACATCTGATGCGATCTCGCAGATCAAAGCCTCCTTGTTTGGCTTGTAATGAAGTGTCAAACCGCTTCCTTGCAACACAAACAGGAGACACTTTGATCTGCAAAACAAGATGTTTAAGAGCCCTGCTAGCGAGGGCTCGCCGTGTTTTAGCAGCACTGCAGAGCGGGGGAATATTTGAAGTCTGATATTGTTTCACATCCAGACTTTCCAAGCTGTGGCAGCTGACGGTGTGTTCCTGTCACACCAGACCCAGGACGCCTGAAAATCACCGAGAACGAAACAACAGCCAGCTGGGGAACCAGACTGAGCGTTTTACTGCCACTTTCCAAAAGCAGTCGCTGGGTTTTTTGTCCCCCCCCCTTTTCCAGAGGGGCTTTTTTTCCGATGGGAAATGTCATCAGAGTCGGCATGAGCTCGCCACAAAATGTCTGCTGGGAGTTGTTCTGGGGGGAAAACACGATTCTGGGGGTTGTCTGTGCTCCTGCTCCCTCGGTCTTGCTTTTCCCTGGTGCGTTTAACCCGTGTCTTGTCCCACGAGGCCTCACTGGTGATGGTTTTGTGGGGCTGGAGCTGTGTCTGGGGTGTCACTGGTCCTGATTTGGTGTCACTGGTGCTACTTTTGTGGGGCTGGAGCTGTGTCTGGGGTGTCGCTGGCCCTGATCTGTGGGGCTGGAGCTGTGTCTGGGGTATCACTGGCCCTGCTTTGGTGGGGCTGGAGCTGGTTTTGT